AACAACAACATATAAAGAATATAATGTTCTTCACCTAATACGCAGTGTTAACGTTTGCTTCTTAGTTCACTTCCACTATGCTTTAAAAATGAAATGGATTTCATTTACTTACTACAGTACCTAGCAGAAAGTGCACTAAAATTATTTTCCCCTTAAAAGAACATACTGTAAAGGCCCATTAAAATATAATTACTGCCAAAAAGGCAATTTACACTTCCTTGAGATAAGCTGCAGTATTGTAGTTTGAAATTCAACTTCCATTGATTCAGGATTAGAGCAGCATGTTTAGATAATAAGCAGAAGTATCTCAGATAACACCCTGAGTGAGTCATTGGACTATAGCATTTAGTCTGAGAAAGTGTGTTTATCTGAAGGGCTCTTGGGACTAATATGGTTCCTCTTCAAAGCCTGAAGCAGGGGGCAAAAATCATAGTCCTGGAGGTTGGCAGGATAAACATGTCCTGTGATTTGCTAGCAATTTGAGAGATGGATTTCACTACAGAGCGCACTGTTGTTGTCAGGTTGAAAAGTGTCTGCCTGGAAATGAATTCATGTGCACACAGCTCCAGACAAAGGAAAATCTCCCCGAAATGGCATGCCATCACATTTTAAGGCCAATTTTTCAAGTCTGTGACTCACACCTGGGAAATATACTAGTACACTAAGTTTATCATAAAAAGCTCACATTTTAACAAGCAAAAATTGGTGCAATAATCTTGAAACATAGTGTCTCACTGACAGGTACAGAAATCCTTCTTTTTTATATATATTTTTTCTTTTTTTTTTTTTTTTTATTTTCATATTGGACTGCTTCATGTCTGAAAACAAGTGTGCCTTTTCTACATATGGTCATCTCAAATTGGTTTTCGGTGAAAGGAATGCTATCTGATGCTCTTTTAACATTTGATGTGAGGTCTAAACAGGGAGGCTGGGTAATGTGTCATCAGGAGGAAAGCTGTGGCAAGAATAAAAGCTTCTGTGTCAGTCAACAGTTTATAAATACAGCAGGAGAGATAACTGCTGTGTATACTCCACAAGAAGGGTTTCAAACTGGGCTCTAGAAGTAGAAACATATTTTTAAGTTATGAGAGTGAGAAAGTGTAAATGAGTGAACAGAAGGTTTCTATAACTGTGTGGAAGCTTTTTGTGCACAGTTGGAGCAGTTGGGGGCTGTCACTCTGAAAATAATTGTGAAGGGAACTAAACACAGAATAAAGGACTTGAGGTCTTTCACTTGCACCCTCAAGTTTCCTGGAAATCAAAGATTTTACACCAGTTTAAATCAAATGTATGTAAAATCAGGTAAGGTTTATGATGCATTGGATAAGAAAAGGGAAATCCCAGAACTACATCCACCCAACACATCTCCCAGATTTAAGGGATAGAGAGAGACACATGGGTGAATTTCAAGGGACAGTCACTCAACAATGTCCTATGAACCAAGCTGAACAAGCAAGACTGATCTTTCTTTAAAAATAATAATTTTCATTTACAGATTTCCATTAAAGTTTTATTATCTACTCCACGTGCCAAACTGTAGCTAAACTAGAGGGTTAGAAGCAAGCTAAATAAATTTCCTCCTGAAGTTCAATCTCACATTTACGCTGTGTTTGTTATTTGGTTTTTGATTTTGTTTTAATGGAAATATAGATGCAAAAAGAAAACTTGTGGTTTAAGAAGAAAACTTCTAAAGAAGAGCCAAAAGCATCACTGCTAGTTTCTTCTAGCATCAAATATGAGCCGAAGGATACATATCTTCTAGATTCAGCTGTGCTGTTTTTAAAGGAAACCAACATCAATTTCTTGTTCCTTTCCTTCTTGCTGCACGCCATGTTTTCAGACCTTACGGTAAGAACTGCTCAAGTAAGTGGTTTATGACAAGCAGCTACATCGGCAATACCTTCTCTTGAAAGCCTCTGAGGTAAATATAACCTTATTCTGTCTGAAGTTGACTGCAGTGAGTAAAGACAGGCTGCCCTATTGGCAGATGTAGCAGGTGGTGAAAAGCAGTAGTGAGTTCAGTGAAGCATAACTACTTACACTAGCCCTACACAAAGAATGTGCCTTGTGTTGTATCTTCAGTGGAAAAATGATATTGAAGAACACTAGAGGACAACTGATGATGTAGAAAGTGTATATCCAGAGTTCATGGAACATCAGTCTGTTTCCTGGGAGGAGCAATCTGTCGTATTTAATGGTGTCTGCGTATGTGCGTCAAAAGAGGAAGACCAGCGACTAGATGAGCAATACTAATAGCTTATTCATGTTTCTGGTTATCACTTTGTTTGAGTATTTTCTAACTTCAGACAGTTGAGAACCAGAAATGCATGTCTGAAACACCATCTACGTTTTTGGTGTTCCAAACTCTATTAAAATGAAAAAGATTTTTATCCAGTTTCAAGCACAAAATCAGATGTGGATTTTTAACTCTGGGCTTGAAAATAAAGAACTATATTAACTATTAATGAATCACAATATTTGGTCAGTGTTGAAGTGTTTAATTAGTCCATAGGTACACCAGGGAAAGGAGAAACATATTTGGTGAAACATTCTCTAGAACAACAACAAAAAATACATTAATTTCAGTCTGTTTCTTCATTGACTTCTTGTGTTTCCCAAGTAGGGAAGAATTATAATTTTAGCTCCTTGATCTTATGAAGTAATTAAAATCATTATTCAAAGCTGATGATGAAGTATTTATGGCTGTGTGGACACCAAGAGAGAAATGAGGTTTCCACTACGCAATTTAGAACCTGCAACACCATCTCTGTTTAACATGAATCCTAGCGAGGTACCATCAGAGCACACCAACATCAGCTTAACTGGGCACTTCGGATTTTGACCCTGAGTCACCAAAGCAACAGTAGGATTTCAGTTTGAACTTCAGTGAGAGTAGCATTAAGCCCTCTGGGAGGAACAAGTCTATTTTAGCTGTTTTTCTTGATTTATTCTGAAGCTGTGTAATGCAGATAGAGAGGCGACCAATTCAAACACATCTGCAAAGACAAGCAGCTAAATCTAGGATACTTTGAATGGACAGTGTCTGAAAAACAGAGGTGTAGGAAAGTAGGAAGAGCTTCTTTGCACAGATATACTGAGACATGCTTCGGTGATGACAGTATGCACTGGAAGAAGGGGAAAATTTAAACCAGAGATTTTGTTGATATCAATTTAACTTGTACCTTGAGGTAGAATAACTATGCCCAGGCTGCACAATGTACGGATTGTTGTATCTTGCAGAGTGTGGTGCTACTGCCACAGGTCTCTGCTTGCTACAAACTCTCTGTGCCACATTTAATTACATGGTCACCACATGCCATTGGACTTTAATATTATGGGTGTTTTGGTCCCTTCTTGAAACAAGACTTAAAATTCACTAGCCTTTCTCTACTGTCATTCCCACCAGCTTCCACTGTCTGTATTTGATTTATCATATCTCTTCAGCTCTAGGTAAGAAAATATTTAAAATTTTAGCGGTTTAACTCTACAACGTAGGACTAAATTGAATGTAGGAGTAGAATTAAGTAAATGTAGACAGTAAACTATATTGAAGGATAACACAGGAAGTCCCTAACACATAAAGCCTCACAAGACTGAACAGATGGAGATATAACTCCTCTAGTGATTGTGTCCTAATGACAACACAGGACAGAAGTTACTAGGCTCTGACTTCCTGAGTGACCAAAGATGTTCCTTCCCCTTCTCCAACAGAAGTACAAGTGTTTTCAGACATACTGAGTAGCAACTGTGATGCTCCTTCTCTCCCCCATCCAAATAGTTCCTGAAGCTATGCTAGGACTATTAGGCATAATAAACATATTGGGCCTGTTATAATAATAAATTCTAGGTCACTTGTAATCACAGATTTGGAGACACGCTTTGAAATTTAGGTTAAATTTTCTGGGGAATAAAACACTTTCTCAGGAGACTCAGCAGCAAGTCACTGGTTAATTGCTGAGACTGTATAATTTTGGGTCAAGGAAGAATAATTCAGGGCATCTTTTGATTCCTGAAACTGGGTTGAGTTCACTTTGAAATTGACCTATATTTCCTTCACATGTAAAATGCCACATTCCACTTGAACTACATTCAATTTATATAACTTTATGCCGTTCTAATTCCTAGCAGCAGACTGCATTTCCCACCATTTGCAATGCCCAGCTCAGGTGATTCAGATGTTTGGTAAGCTGAGATCAAGGTTTCCAAGCTTATACTTCCTAAACCTGTTGTTGTTGTTGTTGTTGTTGTTTGTTTGTTTTAAGGATCTACTGTCCTCGTTGACTGACTCATTTCTGTGCAAGGTGAGCATAGACTATGGAAGTTCATGAAACTATCAAAGCCTTTAAGCAGAACCTGACCCACACTTCAGGAAAAAATCAACCAGTTGCAACATTTTAGTTAAACAATAAAAATGTTTTGTGATAGAAAGGGGATGAACTGAGTCAGGCAGAAAAAATTCTTGTATTTAACTCCTTCTTTTGCCTTGCTATATGTGAAACAATTCCCTGACTGGTGCTCACACTGCATATACACGTTATGTACGTTGTGTGTTACTTTTGACATTAGGCTCTTTTCCTTATGGAGGAGAATTTGATGTTTAAATATAATGCAGGGAGGAGAACAATGGTAACAAAATACTTGACCTACAAATAGACCAGAAGATTCCTCTAACGTATAGAAAATCAGCAAGATAAACATGTAGGACAAGCCAACAACAGCATTTATTCATTCTGTGTTTGTGATAGGTGTTTTTGCATACAAGAGAAAAAGAAACAAGCCAGGTTTTTATCTTCTAGTTGGTTAAATTTGTCTGTCTCTTGTGGTCAGATTTTGAAGTTTTGCTATACCACTGAAGCACTCTTCTCCTTTGTTAATTCCTCAGTGTTAGAAATTCTGTCAGTGTTCCCGTTATGTTTAAATAACTCTATGACCCATATAGCTGAGGTTAAAATCCTTTGGTTTATCTCTTATTGAGTGATTCACATTGGGAAACCACTTACCTGTCCGGCAGTGTCTAGAATGTCCAAATAGGCTGGTTCATCATCAATTCGGACTTGAGTTTTATAGGCATCCTCTGAAAAACATAGTGCAGTATGGCTAAGCATAGGAGTGTCTCAGGAGAATGGAAAATGAAATAGTTTTGCTAGTTTGGAGTAGGCTTTTCAAAAGCTCTCCAGTCTGACCTAACTGCTTTCTTTCAAGTCAAAAAGACACTTGTTGAAATCCTACAGCCGCTGAACAGTATTAGCAAAAGGGAGTGATCTATTACACTCAAATAGTTTCAATGAGAAATAAATTTAGCTCTCTTTAAATGGATAGCACAGACCATAGGTGGTGTTTTAAGTCACAGAGTTTCAGACGTGGTGTGCTGGTGCTATGCAGCAGAGTGTTTTTACTTTACCACAGTGACTTTTCCACAGAGCTTTTCCAGTAAATAGTTTCAAGCTAAAGATTGTCTAAATTGCTGGGATAGTCTCCCTGTGGTTGAATGAGGTTTCTGACTCAGGTATGTCAAAGCAATTAATTAGACCTCTGTATTTCTCTGGAGAGGATGCAAATGGATTTAAAAAAAAAAAATAAAAAAAAATCTATAATCAGTGTCCTCACAATCATCATGTCTGGGAGTGGAGGAGAAAAAACTGTGCTGGGTGGACTGTTCTCTTAGCTTATGATTTTGTCAACTTAAATTTGGAAAAAGAAAAAAAAAAAAAAAAAAAAAAAAAAAAGAGAAATAGTATTAACATAAGTAGTCTTCCTCACATTTCAATTTCTTTCCCCTGTCAACATTTATACTTTCTTCCTAAGATTATGCAGGTCTTAGATAACAGGCCATGTTTATGCTCAAAATAGTTTTGGAAATTTTCTGTACTGTTTCATTAGATAATACATAGCAGCCTGAGTGATTTTGGTGATTGATATTATGCTTTGGTAGCTGGAAATCTCATGACATTCCAATTTACGTCATAATATATAGCACAACATATGACACTATAAAACCATGTAAAAATCTGCTCTCTACATACCAAAAAAAAAAAAAAACACAAACCCCAACAAACCAAGACCCTAAATCATTTGGATAGGAATGATTCTGGATGGCCTTAACTCAGTCCACTTCTGCGCAGTCAGTGGCAAGCTATCTTTAATGACATAATCACATACAGTAATTTCCTTTACTCTCCTCCTTCTTTTATGCCTCAGGTCAACAAATTACTTAGGCACATTCCTTGTTTTAAACAAATATCTAATTCCATTCCTATTAGGATGACCCAGAGACTTAATTAATTTTATGATACATCACCTTGCAGAGAAAGCCAGAACAGTCCAACCAGTCAATAGATCTCTTGTTAGGGATTGCGGAATAAAAAACTCTGTGTCAAAGAGGGACCATACAGAGTATATTAGGCTCTTTATAGTTAAAGTAATATATTATGGCACAGCAATTATATAAGCAGATTTTTTTTTTTAAATTTTTATTTTTTATCTTTCTTTAAACTAAAAATGAAAAACAAAATATGGAAACTTGTAAAATCAAATCTGGTATTTCCTGCATGTGAATTTTACCCATACTATGAAGTATTATTAGTATATTTCCATACAGGTGGGTGCCCATTTGCATCACATTCATACATATATAACTAACACGCAACTTGCCTAAATCTAGCTTGCACTCTTGTCTCTGCAGCTGGATACTCTAAATATGCTGTGGTCTTATTTCTCTCTTCGCTTTGACCGATGTGACTTTTAATGTAGCAGCTTTACAACACTTAATGCAGAGGCACATTTACATACTTCAAATTCAAGTTGGATAAAAATGAAGCCGGGACATAGATAAGTTCTGCTAAGGAAATCAATTAGGCTTTCAGAGTTAGTTATAACTCAAAGACCCACTGGCCTCTGAATATAAGTCATAGCTTTCAGTAGGTAAATGTAAAATATCTACATCAAATAGCTACTCCAGGTGTACCCCGATATCACGCCACTGTAATCGGTAAAGCTGTAACTGTTAACAGCTGGAGCAAGGCGATGTTTATAACCCCTTTACTTTGCACAGACAACACTGAACGTACAAACCCATTGTGCTACTGTCATTTATTTTGTATTCTCAAACTACAGAACTTAAAATATTTCACAAAGATGTGCCAGAATCACTGTCCCGTTTTAATTATTAACATAATATATGCTAACGTATTCTGTTGGTGGTAGCGAAACATATTCTGTTGATCATTGACCAAGCACATGAATCTAAATGGTTTTCGAGGCAATTTTACTCGGAAGATGTTTTTTTACTTGTAAAATTTGCCTTTGCCCCAAGAAATATAGAGATGAAACAGGAAGGACATATGACTTTCCTTTGTAATATTCTCTCTCTGCATATGAGCAAAAACCAGGATACTACAGATAATTTAGAAAAGCTTAAAAATAACCTCAGTTGTGGTGCGATGAGCAAGGCTACTCTCATCCTGTATTTGAATGGAAAATAAATGGGAGATTTAACACCTACTTTTCTTATGGCACTCGTTTAAGAGGAAGTCCTAAAGCCCACACTTATCAAGGGAACTGCTGTCTTGAGCCAACACCCTCATACCAGAGATCAGATCATAGCACCCACCTATAACCTATCAGCTTCTTAATGTACAAACACAACCAGCCTTTTGAGAGGCACTATCTATCAATCTGCCCTGTGTATTCACTGATCTCCTGGGCTACCCAGACAATAAATTTTTCCAGCACAGGTAGTAGATGGAAGATGCATAAATTGAAAACTGTGTTTCCCACCTCATGTCATACGGACCAAGAAAAGAAGTCAGGAGTGGAAAACCTGTCTCATTTAGTTCTGGCCTAAGATTAATACTTTTAAAGTGGGATTTCATCTCAGCAAGTAATGGAAATAAAGCTGAGTGAGGGATTACATAGGTAAATATCTTTATTTTAGTCAACTGGACTATGGGGCACAGGTATTAAGATGGAAATAAACAACCTCCCACAGATCAAGAGCTGGATGTGACTGTATGTTAGAAACACTGGTGCCTTCAGATGCTTCCTGATGTCAGGTGTGACTACTATGTGGCCAGGAGTTTTAGTCCAGGGGACATATTACAGACACATTAAGGTAACAGAAACCCTGAGATCTGAGAGGAACATGCTCTTTACGTGTGGACTGAAAAGAACAGAAGTTCCACTGAAATAGCATCTGAGTGTATATAAAACAAAGTAAGGAAGTCTTCAACAGGAGCACTAGCAAACTCACTGTCTGCTCTCCTCTCTTTAAAAATTATTCACATTAATACAAATGCTGTCTAGTATATTTACACTTTCCACAATATCTGAGTAATTACATTTTCTTTCACCTAATTAATTTCTAATACTATTATAACGTTCCTTTTAAAGTTAATTGGGGGTTGTTAAGCCACATGTATCCGGACTTTACATCCTACAGCTCTAAAGAGCGATATTTATTAAGAGACCAAACTCCAGCTGCCATTTCAGTAAAGAATTAAGATAACATATGAAAAAAAGGAGACAAGGGTAATAATGAGACATCAGACAATTACTATATTTCTTATACTAAGTTCAGTATTAGTCTTTTTTTCTGTGAGGGTCACTGTAAGATTTCAGGTTTAGATGAAATACATCAGAATGATAGGGTATTATAAGAAAAAACTGTGGATGGAGTTTATTGATATTTTTGTGAGGTATAACCATGACTCAAACACAATGTGCAAGAATGATCATTTTGTAGGGTAGCAAAGTGAAAAATGAAATAAAAACTCCTACATCCCTATGTTCTGTATAATATGTGAATAAATGAATATTTAAAATGCATAGTTAAAATATTTGGTAAAAGTTATTTTTAAAATATAATTATTCACCTTTTTTTTTCCATATAGAATATATTTTTTAAGAATTTTATTTCCTCCAAACATTAAAAATAGATGAAAATGGATAGAAATTCCACCTTAAAAAGTTATACTACTTGAATTACTATTGACTGTTTACTGTTTTCCAGGGTGAGAAAAAAACAAATAGAGCTCCAACTGCTTTCTTCAAGGCACCTATTCTTTTTTATTATTAATTTTTCCCCTACAGAATATCTCAATTAAACCAAGAAAAAATATTTTTAAAAGGCATTTTTAAAAGGCATTTTTAAACTTGTTTTTCTTAATTTTTTGGTTGTCCTTTGCTGTATTATAAAAGAAAACAAAACAATTCCTCCTTAAGCCTTTTGTTATATAGTTTCTTTGGTAAAATTAATACATATTTTTTCAGCTTGCTTTTTTTTTTTTTTTTTTTTTTTTTTTAGAAGTACAATAATTTATGCAAGGTTGTGTTGCAATCAGTTATCTTAGCACTTGAGAAGCTAGATTCATAAAAAATATATCAAAGCACTTTTTCAGCTATGAGCAGGTAACTGCTTCGTGACAAATAGATTTGGATAGCGAACAATTTAAAGTGAAGTTGGAATGGGTTTTTCATCTGCTTTACAGATATATTCCCGTCCCTGAAATATAGGTCAGCTGCTTCTTCCTTCCATTTGTTAATTCTGCTTATATTCCTCCTAAATAAATAGTGTCTCTTCTCTGTCCTATACGCTATCAATTGCACTTAAACCTGGTCAGATTCTCACATATATAGATGAGCCAAAAATACTATATTTGATTAAGGAGGTGCCAAACCTACAGAAGGAAATCAAAGCTCAGTCAACCACACCTGGAGTTCTGCCTCTTGTTGTTCTTCCTGTGTGCCAGACAGCAGGAGACCTGGCTCTTGGTGTGCTTAGATTATCCGCTTCATATGCATTTGAATTCAGAGATGTTCCTGAATGTGGGATGATCGTGGGTGGATGGGTGCTTTTTCTATTTACAATGAATTTTTAAATAAAAATAAAAAGGATGAACAGAGACTTAAACCACTGCACCAACTACTACATGTAAACCGCTTCTATTTAAAATATAAAAATGCGTGTGGGAGGAATTGCCCATCAAAATACATTGGTCTTCTAATTTCCCTTAACATATAATTAATTTCCTGGAGTATGAGTGTTTTATAATTTGGTTGAGCATTACTATCAGCATT